AGATGGTGGGTGTGGGTGTGGGTGTGTGCGGGTGTGGGGTGTGGGTGTGGGTGTGGGTGTAGGTGTGGGTGTGTGGGTGTGTGGGTGTGGGTGTTGGTGTGGGTGCGGGTGTGGGTGCAGGTGTGGGTGTGGGTGTGGGTGCGGGTGTGGGTGTGGGTGCGGGTGTGGGTGCGGGTGTGGGTGCAGGTGTGTGTGCGGGTGTGGGTGTGACCGAAGACAAGACACTCAGACCCACACCCACTCACTCACACCCACACCCACTCACTCACACCCACACCCACTCTCTCACACCCACACCCACTCACTCACGCCCACACCCACACCCACACCCACATCCTTGAGAAGCTACGGGTATCCCTAGAAAAAGTTCAGTTCGCTCAAATGAGCTGTTCGAACAGTTCAGTTCAGGGAGCTTTTTCAACAGCTCATTTTTTGTGAGCGTGTCGCCTCCTATTCATGACAATTATGGTCTTTTTCGTTAGCAGTTTCCGCGGCAGAAACAATCGATCTGAGTTTCTTCTTCGACATGAATATATTCTTTTACTGTTTCTTCATAAAACAGTGACATCATGTCTCTGTTCGTTGTTTTTGGCTCCTGGCCGAATCCCACTGACGATAAAATTGTCAACTTTGTAGCGTTTTTTCAATGGCAATTCGTAGCAAACAGTCGATGGCTTTTTCGTCGATCTCCCGAACCGTTCGCTAACTTCCCAACGAGCGGTGCAGAGAAGAAAGAAAGAGAAAAATGTAACTGCAAGCAAAGTGAGACGACCACAGGAAGCAATGGCCTTGAGTTAGTTAAAAGTCCAACCGAGGAATATATGCAACTATGGCATTGAAAATGAATGCGCGCACAGAAGTTTCTTGTTGCTAACAGAACGACCAACAACAACAATCTGCTTGTCACTTCCTCCGCAAAAAAGGTGACTCAAGGCAAAGATGAAGTTAACGTGGGTGGGGGGGGGTGGGGGTGGGGGTGGGGGTGGGTGTGGGTGTGGGTGTGGGTGTGGGTGTGAATTAATAGAACATCGACACCCACACCCACACCTACACCCCACCCTTTTGAAAAAATTTTATATTATAAAGATTAAATTTAACAGATCACATATTTATTATGTTGAGTTTATTGTTATCAAAATGTTTAAAAATATCATTTCAATGGAATCATTTTTCGTTTGTATCATCAAGGGATATTTGATAAAATTTTCGACATGTATGACAACAATTTCCATGCATATTTGGTAAAGTATCTTTCATTTTGCTTTCAGTACGTTTTTGAACTTTTAATTTATCTTTACAAAATTGAATAAAATAATCATTTCGATTCAATATTTGTGTATTTTTATCATCAATATTTTCATTCATATTAAATTGATTCAATAATTTAACAATTTCATAACATTTATCATTACGTGTTGAATTCATAATTGCTAAATCTAAAGGTGTATAACCATTAAAATCTTCAATCATTATTGATTTCGTTTCCATATTTTGTAATAATAATGAAACACATTCAATATGACCATATTCACAAGCAAAATGTAAACATGTTTGACCACCAATTAAATATATGGGTGTTTGATGATCAATTATAAATAAAGCATCAAAATTTCTCATGTTTAAATTAATATTATTATGTTTAATTAATATATTTAAACATTCAACATTATTTTCCATACATGCCCAATGTAATGGTGTATGTCCATATTTATCAATTATATTTACGTTAATATTAAAATAATTATCAAATTCATTTAACATATACGATAATAACTTATCATAACCACGTAAGGCACAAATATGTAATAAACTAGTTCCAGTATTATCGATCATTTTATTTATATCTAATTTATCTTTTTTAATATTTAATAATAATTCTTTGATTTCTGTTTCATTACTATAACATGATTTTAACCATTCATTTTCAATGGTGACTTGTTCTTCTTCGTTATCAACTAAATTCAATGACATTTTCCGAAAAGAAATCTATTTCAAAAATTTTGGAATACAAGAACACTATATTTAGAATTTCATATTTGTGTAAATAAAATCAAAAAAATAGAGAGATCAGATAGATTTCTTTGAAAGTATGTATACGTTCAGTGCGGTTGTGCAAATTTTTACTTTCCATAGAGTACTTGAATTTAAATATATCTCTAACCCACTTTTTCTAGTAAAATATCGGGATTTTGGTATAGGCAGGATATATCAACATTACAATACGTTTCTCAATAAGATCTAATGGTTGAGTACAGCTTGATGACAACTATATCTAGTTCAAAAGCATTTTATAAAAACGATGTGAATGCAGCATGTAAACAGTAGTGTACGTGCCGTATTGTTCAACCTGGAATATGTCTAGCAGTGATCTACTAATACAAAAATAAGTTGTATAATTGCTTCTAACAACTAGAAAAACGGTTAAAGAAATATTTGATTTTGCGCAAGTTTTTTTTGCAAACATTTGTAATATCAAAAAGACGAAAAATAATTTTTTTTAATAAAAATAAACGAATATGGGATAATAACTATTTTTTCTTGCGGATATTCTAATATCACAAACACAGTGCATTTATAGTTGCTTTCATCACGAGTGACATTTTTTTTTATTGTTTTTTACTTCGCTATATCTTACATAGTTACGAGAACGAAAGAAAAAAATTACATTCCCTTACTTACTGTATAGGTGTCAATCCGGCGAATGTGCTGGTGTTTTTTTTATTTCTTTTTCTTCCATTTTTATCGGTTCTGTGCAAACATTATGATACACATGATAAGAAAGAAAATGAAAAAGTAAAAAAGATAAAAGAAAAATAATTTGATTGTTTATACCATTTTCGAGGTTGTACATATTAGACGAGATTTTCTATTGATCACCCTCAACATTTTGAGGGTGAGAGTATGAGCACGGTATGTAGCTACTGTTGACATGTCCATCAGCAGAGACTTACGAGGGAACATATTTGAGTGTACCCACGCAGAGCGAATTTAAAAACATTCTATCCTATAGGAATCTCAATAAATATCTCGAATATGAATATCTTAGCTGCTCTCGTTTAGGTCTGCAAGAAAAAAAACCAAACTTTTTCGATTTGAGACCTTATTCTGCTAATAGATGTATCATAAGTATTTTTTATTATTTTGTAAATTTGCAAAAATAACCATTTTGCTTTCATAAAAGAGCTATAGAAAATTAACAAGATTTGTCATGAAGGAGCGAACTCTTTGTCAAGAATAGTAGTATCATATT